AGGACCAACTCTGTTCACTAGAAGACCCTAATATGCATTTAAAACAAGTTTTAAATTCATGCTATACTAATTAAATCACTAATTTAGAATTAGGTAATTTAAATCTTTTCCATCCGTTAATCGCATGCAAATAGGTTTAATTCCGTATTATGCATTCTACTTGTCTACCTGTATAAACCACGCACGGAGAACCATTAAGAACACCCAAGTGACATGTTAAACACCTCAGTTTACTTCCAACTCAGTCCCAGACTCACAACCCTGCAACAGTAACAAATAATTCGTAATAAAAAAAAAAAATCAAAAATGAAATTCCAAGAGAGCCTGCTCAATTTTTGGAAAGAGCAGGCTCTTTTAGAGCCTTGAGCCGGCTCCATTACTTCATGGAGCCGGCTCTTTACCTAGAAAAGATGAGGGAGCCGGCTCCCTCATTCCATGGAGCCGGCTCTCTCCCCTTCTAAGAGTCGTCTCCAACCTCTGCAATTCCTGCGACTCTCTGCTTTGCTTCCGGTCACTTTCCACCTCTACCAGCCTTTCTATTTGGCTTTAAAACAAATCCTAATAGTTTTAATAACACCCAATAGCATCTCAATGGTTTGTTTACAGTTCGTTGGAATCAATTACAGAGATTGGACTTTCAACAGTTTTAATAGGCATACAGAACCAACACTAAACCCAGATTTGCAACTACTGTAACAGAGTTATTTTAACACATATAGATTATCAAAATATCATATAATAAACATGTATTCTCAGTTAACGATGAATTAAACCCTAGAGAACATCTAGGTGCACAGAACACAGGTCAGGGGAAAGAGGAAGAAAAGAACTCGCCTTTACAATTTTGGATGAAACCATGTCGCCGTCTTTCTAAGTTTTTCCGGCGATCTCGACTGCCATCAAGGACTCTCCTACTTCGGTTCTAACCCTCGAATAGCCCTCAACCATCATCCTTGGTCCAGCTCAAATCCCTTGTGCCAAAACCTTCATCCCCTTCTCTTTAAACTCTCTGTTTTTCTCTCTAACTTATAGGTACGTGCAAAGAGTTTTGCTAACCCTAACAGACCACTCTATTCTCTATATATATGCTAGAACAGAACCCCGTCCATATATAATTAGAGTAAAACCCTAATTAAATCCTAGTCGGCCCATAGAGCAACCTAGGTTACAATACTCAGCCGCCTATACTTGAATTGCTATCAAAACTATAATTGAACTTAAATAAACTAACTTAATTTTAATTAAACTAAATAAAGAATAACACAATTAATGAAAATAAACAAACAAATAAAGAATTACACCCTTAATTAAAATAAACAAACAATTAGAAAATAACACAATGAATTAAAATAAACAAACAATTGGACACATAAGCATATTACAAAATCAATTTAAAATGCACAAAAATAAAATTTAAATTCCATTTTTATCCCTTTTGAAATTAGGGGTATTACAGTACCCCCGCGGCGACCAAGTTTTTATAAAACCATTTTATCAAAAATTCTCCCCGAAAATTCCCCTTTTTCGTTTCAAAACAATTTTTCCCATTTTCATGCCCAATTACATGCATGAACATTACATACGTTCTCAATGCCATGACAAATGAAAGATTTTCATACTACACGAATTAACATGCTTCTATTTAGCAATTTCCAGTAAGTTACTAACACCATAGGCATAAGAAATTAACACATAAACATGCTTTCCACATAGTAAGTTTTAACAAGTTATCGAGCACACAAGCATATAAAATCAACATTTAAGCATGATTTTCACACAAATCCACTTATACATATAATCATGAATTTTATATACAAAACCAAATCATTTTAGAGGTATTCATCTCAAATTAAGCATGCTTAGCTATGATTAACAAAGAATAATTCACAAGGGAGCAAGAATCTCATGGATTAGGAACCCCTACTTCACTTTTATGCAAAACCTCCAATTTTCATTTCAAACCCTAGGATTTTTTGAATTTCCTATAGTGTACCAACCAAGAAATTGCTCGTATCAACTTGTAGGCCTCGTCGTGAGCTTCAATTTGCCGCAAACGACACTTAAAAACACGAAGAATAGAGAGAGAAATCAAGCTTTGAATTTGGAAAATAAAAAAGAAAAAGAAAAAGAAAATGCCGAGAGGAAGAGATACTGGCAGCGTGAGAGAGTGAATAAGATTACAGAAAACCAAAAAAAAAAAAACGTGGTCTTATGACCACTTAAAAAAAAAAACTGTGGGTCCCTCCACTAATATATATATATGTATATATATAAAACTTAAACATTACAAGAACGGGATGCGGTGTCTAACGTATTGTGATCGTCCTTAGTGTTAGTACGCTGTCAGTATTGGTACTCTTATCTGATGGTCGTGTTGTGAGCTGTATCCTAGTATTTGACGAATGGGTGGTGTGGATCTGATTTGTTTTGTCTAGTATGGGTATCGCAGTATAGCGTATGTGAGGTTTTGGTATTGTTAGCATATGATAGTCCGTTAGTGGTGAAATCGCCTAGAATTGAGTTCATAGTTCTGTACAGGTGTAATGTTACTGATTTTCCTTATTTCCTATTTTCTGGAGTTTATTTGATTTTTTTGGATTATTTTAATCCTTACCTCGTTTTGCGTACGTGCCACGTGGGCTCCGAAGGGCATTTTGGTCATTCACCGAGCCGAAGGTTTTGGAAAAATTATTTTTTTTAATCATTTTAAGTCAATTAGAAGTGATAGTATTATTTTTTTTTTTAGAATGTTTGGAAGTCGGGACGATTTCCAGACTAGGAAACTTCTGCTGGTTTTGTCATTTCAAGAAAGGGGCATAATGGACTTTTCTCACATATATTTATACATCTATATAGATATTTGCGGGGGGTAAGAATGGCATTTCATTGAAAAAAGAGGAGCATTATAGTAACTTGGCTTGAATTAGAAATCAACCAATTTAGAACAAGTGGCACACTTATGGCCTTAGAGGAAAAAGGCAAAACCCAAATATCAACCTCTTCTCCTTCAATTTTCGGTGGAAACCCCCTCCTTCTAGGTTTTCTTTTCTTTCTTCCTATATTTATATAAATATATACACCTCCATGCTTAAAACCTTTGATTTGAGGAGTTTTGAGTGAAAATTCAAGGAAGCCATAGAAAGGAAAGTGGAGAGCTTGGCATGAGCTTCAAATTGAGACCAATGTTGTTAAGACTTGGAAGGATTTTGAAATTTTAATCAATACCGCATTTAAGTTAATACAAGCCCAAATTTGGTTTAATTTAAATGGAACATATTATCATGGTTCGTTAATCAATACCGCGTTTGGTTCATGAAAATAGTAATTGTTGAATTACCCTAGTCCATTTAGCTTATTAGCTTATTAGTTGTCCTCTTTGAAAAGTCAAAATAATTTTTCATTATATTTCTATCATTGTCCTTTATTTTTTAAAAAAATTTCAAATTTTGTAATTATATATATTTAAATTAAAAACAATAATTTAATAATTTAAAAAAAGAATAGTACATTAATTACATACAACCTTAAAAATTTTAATTTTTAAATATAAACTTCTATTTAGAAACAGAGGTAGCATCATCAAAATGGAGTACACAATGGAGTAGTTTCTTATATCGTGCCGTGTAGTTGGTAAACATCATCAAATTACTTCAATGCACCTGTAAGGCTGCCGGATTGACTTGAATGCGTCTAACCGCGTCCCATCATTCATCCAGCCTGTTAGGTTCATTAATTCATTCCATTTTTTTCTTTTTATTTTTTTTTTATGGTAAGAATGTTAAGAGTCAAGCATTCTAGCCTTCATAATTATCAGTTTTTTTTTTTTTGTTTTTACTTTTTTCATGATAAGAATGTTAATGGGGTGCGGAGGATGCGAGACTGAGTAATTTAACTATTTGGGCACTTGCATTCCCTTCTAATTAGGGATGGCAAAAATTCCGATTCCACCCCAAATATACTATAAATTTTTTAAATTATCCTTACAAACTAGGGATGTCAATTTATACCGCCCCGCTGAGGCCCCGCCCCATTAATAACGGATATGGGAACACTTTTTATACTGTTGGGGTGGGCATGAATACAAATTTTGTACCCGTCGCGAGTCATGGGGCGGATAAGGGTTCAGTATATATACATATCCTAGGAGCCCGCCCCGCCCCACCCCACTAAGCATATATATATATATATATATATATATATATATAATATTAATAACTTATTTTAGTGGCTTACCCAGTTACCCATCTTTTACAATCCTAATTTGGGATGTAAACTTAGTATTAAATTTGCTTTTGTTTTGGTTATGGTGGAAGTCGGAACTTAGAACTTTTTGTGATTTGGTTGTATTAAATTTTTATTTTTGTTTGTTATGTTCTCTCAATTATGTTATGTGCATGTTATTTTTTTATTTTTGTTGGAATACATAATTTGATTTATGTTGTGTCATTCCCAGGCTTTCCACATTTAAATAGCAGGAGTTAAGTTTCAAAAAGTGGGAGAAAAAAATTTATTAGTGGGGTGGGCATGGGGGCACAGTATTTCTCAACGGGGCAGGGCTGGACATGAAAATCTAATCCGTTACGGGTCTCGGGGCGGGCATAAACTTGTCAAAAATTAAAAGAGGCAAGACAGAATTTAGAGAAACCCGCTACAAATCCTCCCCTGTTGCCGTCCCTATTACAAACTACTCCGTATGGTATATGATAATATTAAGTCAATGAAAAGAACTTTCAAGGTTATCAACACCTTTTCAGTCTTGTCCCTTTTAAAATTGATAAAGAGAGCATAAATTAGAAAAGTAATGTGCTTTTTTCTCCATCTTTAAAGAGAGCATAAATTAGAAAAGTAATGTGCTTTTTTCTCCATCTTTGGCTTTTAGTTTTCAACAATTACCAAATCACAGAATCCGTGGTTCTCATTCACTCATGTCCCTATCAATCTCTCTCCTTCCTCACCTAATTTTAATAGGGGTTGTAAATCTGTGTAAGTCTACTGTACATAGCTCTTAAAGCACGGCAATATGGTTTCCTCTTTAATTACAACTTCATATTTCTTTTTGTCATTGTGCTTAATTATGACGCTCTCTTACACATACAGTTTCTCCAACTCCTTTGTGATTGTGTCCATTCTTTGGTTGTTTATTCCCAATAGTATTACTGAAGCTGCCTATATATGTACTAATGAAACTACATACACTCCGAATAGCACTTTTCAATCTAATCTCAATCTCCTACTCTCTTCTCTTTCTTCCAATGCAAACAGCATTACTGGATTTTATAACACAACAGCTGGTCTTGATGCCCCCGATGTGGCTTATGGCGTCTTTCTCTGTCGTGGCGATATTGCCGGTGCTAATGGCTGTCAAGATTGTGTGGCTCATGCAGTGAAAGAAATAGTCCAGCAGTATTGCCCCAACCAGAAAAAGGCATTTATTTGGTACGATGAGTGCATGTTACGTTACGCCAACCAGTCTTTTTTCTCCGCCATGGAGCAATGGCCCTATACGTATTTGTGGAATGCAAATAATATCACAGAACGAGATCGCTTTGAGCAATTGCTGGGAGAAACTGTGGATGATTTGGTGACTCGTGCTTCAAATGATGAGTCTGGAAATGTTACGAGGTTTGCAACTCAAAAAGTCAACTTCTCAGCTTTTCAGAAGATATATAGCCTAGCGCAGTGCACACCAGATATATCCGGAAGTGATTGTAATAGATGCCTTCGACAGGCTATAACTTATTTTCCAATTTGTTGTGATGGAAAGCAAGGGGGGAGGGTTTTACTTCCCAGTTGTAATATAAGGTTCGAGGTGTACCCGTTTTACAGTTCCATACCCACCGCTCCACCGCCTACACCAATACTACTTTCTCCTCCTCCACCTGCTCCAACTCCTTTAACAAGTCCTAAAGGTAACATTTAAAATTGAACAATCTCCAATTAATTAGTGTTTGTTTGTTGACCATCTAATCGCAAGTTCATTTTGTAAATTAATTGATATACAAACTATGCTGATTTTGATGGTTTAAGCCAGTTAAATAGGATCAATTTTTTTGGACTGTGATTAACTTCGAAGGATGTAAATAAAGATGAGACTCGAACTGGTTGTTGATGCAGGGAAAGGGAAGATTTCGTCACAAACAATTATTGCCATTGTTGCTTCAATTGTGTCAGTGGTACTTCTCTCCGTAGGCTGCTGCTTCCTAGTTAGAAGAGCAAGGGAATGGTATTATAATATAGAAGAAGAAAATGGTAAGTACCCTAACTAGTTTACTTCCTGAATCAAATAATAGTACCCTGACATTTGTGCTTATGTTGAGATGTAATTACGAAATTCAGCACTTCCATTCTTTGGTTGTGTAGTTGGGAATGAAATTACGACAGTAAATTCCTTACAATTTGATTTGGGTACGATTGAAGCTGCAACAAACAACTTCTCATTCAATTTGTGCACTTCCATTCTTGAATTTTTGAGTCATAAGTAGAATAGTTGGGACATTGTAAGTTCTTGATTACCCTATTCTTTTTTTTCTAAAAGGTGCATTACTACTTACAACTATATGCGGAGAAAGGTTCACATTCAGAATGACTGGTACTAATTTAAAATAACAGGTACCAGAATCTTTAGCTCTCTGTAATTCAAGAAGTATCTTTTGTTATCTTTTAATTTGTGCTGGTTTGTTTACTCTGGAACTAACTGACGGTGCTTGCTTGTAGTGGTTACGTGTCTCCAGAATATGCAATGCATGGACAATTTTCTGTGAAGTCCGATGTATTCAGTTTTGGCGTTTTAGTTCTAGAGATTATAAGTGGCAAGAAGAACAGTGATTTCTTTCAATCAGGTCATGAGGATGGCCTTCTGAGTTATGTGAGTGCAAAAAGAACATTGCAATTGTCTTTTTCCTTTGTCCTTGCAATTGATTTCTATCATCGTGTCCATGTTGAAGAACAAAAACAATGACAATAACAACACTGTAAACACCATTTCACATATAATTGCAGGCTTGGAAACAATGGAGGAATGGGACACCATTGGAATTGATGGATTCAACATTGAAGAGCTCTTATTCAAGAAACGAAGTTGTCCGATGCATCCATATAGGCTTGTTGTGTGTTCAAGAAGATATGGAAGTGAGGCCGTCTATGGCATCTGTAAGTCTCATGCTCAGCAGCCTCTCTGTTAGTCTACCATTGCCTCGAAAACCTGCATTTTTTGCTCACAGCAGAACAGAGTACTTGAGCTTGCAACCTACAAGCAAGTCAAGGGAGTGGTCTGTGAATGAAGCATCCATTACTGAACTTTACCCCAGATAAAGTCAGAAGTCTAGGCAATTTAAAAATGTGTGTATGCTGTGGAAGTGTGAAATGAGTGAACTTAATTTCCAAGAATATGAATGATACATCAGTCATTGTTGATAGGTTAAACTAAAAAGAGCATGCTGTCACGGGCCTAGAGATTTGGCGCAGCGGCACGGCCCGTGCGGCACCAAGGCGTTGCTTCAGCTCGCGCAAGCGCCCTGGTCAGCCACCACGACCTGCCCTCCCAAGGATACATGCTGACTGGTTTCGGTCTGCCATGGCCTCGTCAGGGGAACGGCTCCAGCTCCCGACCAGTTTGTGCAGGGATGGCCAACTCCCTTCTTCATAGTCAAGTCCACGACCAGCGACAAGCACCTCGAACTGAACCGAGTCGACCTGCCTGAACTCTGAAGAGGTACCATCCTGTGCTCCTGCACGCCCCTTCCCTGGAACCATTCCCAGTCAAACTCTGCTCTTTGCCAACCAGCATGCGTGTCTTCCATCCTCCAAGCGTCTTAGGAATCACTTCGTGACATTCTCCCCCACCCAAATCCTGCGACGTCCTCGTCGCAGTGCGGCGCTTCACTACTGCGTCCACTCCCTTCCAAAGTCTGCCTCCATGCGGTATGCTCGCCTCCCCACCATCGCTTCCTTGTGCAGCTCCCTGCACTGCACTCGCCCAATGATAGGCCTCGGACCAAGGGGACGTCCACTCCTCAAGGACGTGACTCTTCTCCGTCATGCCGCCTCCGCGACATCCCGAGCAAGCAATGGCCTTCTGCCGACTTGATGCTCGCCCTTCACCATGGTTTGCATCACCCAAGGACTAAGCACGAACTTTGGTGCGCGCGGCCCTCCGGCCCTTCAATGCGCAACTTCAACGGACGCCTCTTCCTGGGGAGATGGAGGCCCTTCCCCCCAACTGCATTGATTCCTCCACATCGACGCAACTTCAATGCACCGTCTTCATTCTCTGACCCCTCCCGGACCGACAAGGGGGCACCCCACCGTGCTTTACCCCAAGTCCTGCTCTGATACCATTTGTCACGGGCCTAGAGATTTGGCGCAGCGGCACGGCCCGTGCGGCACCAAGGCATTGCTTCAGCTCGCGCAAGCGCCCCGGTCAGGCACCACGACCTGCCCTCCCAAGGATACATGCTGACTGGTTTCGGCCTGCCATGGCCTCGTCAGGGGAACGGCTCCAGCTCCCGACCAGTTTGTGCAGGGATGGCCAACTCCCTTCTTCATAGTCAAGTCCACGACCAGCGACAAGCACCTCGAACTGAACCGAGTCGACCTGCCTGAACTCTGAAGAGGTACCATCCTGTGCTCCTGCACGCCCCTTCCCTGGAACCATTCCCAGTCAAACTCTGCTCTTTGCCAACCAGCATGCGTGTCTTCCATCCTCCAAGCGTCTTAGGAATCACTTCGTGACAATGCGCTCAAAAGATAATCAGCAAGTTTGCAACTAGGTTACATAAATGATCTAATACAAGCCCAAATTTGGTTTAATTTAAATGGAACATATTATCATGGTTCGTTAATCAATACCGCGTTTGGTAATAGGTATAGCGAGTTTGAGGACTTTTTTTACCACAGAACACCCTTTCCCGGGTCTAAATTTTGACAGTTTTGTTTTTGTAACACTTTTTGCACCAAGTGCAAGCTCGTTCATGAAAATAGTAATTGTTGAATTACCCTACTCCATTTAGCTTATTAGATTGAACAGCCCCTTCAAAGTAAATTTGAAATAACGGAGTATTAATTTATTTTCCAATTTTCAGCTCATATTTAATATCATCACAATATAGTTTCTTTTCCTTTCATCTACTTATTATATGTTGTGCCGGGTACTTGGTAAACATCATCACCTGACTTCAATGCACCTATAAGGCTGCCGGATTGACTTGATTGCGTCTAACCGCTTCCCATCATTCATCCGGCCTGTTAGGTTCATTAATTCATTCCATTTTTTTCTTTTTATTTTTTTCATGGCAAGAATGTTACATAGTCAAGCATTGGAGCCTTCATAATTATCAGTTTTTTTTTTAATTTTTTTTTTATTTTATTTTTTTTATGGTAAGAATGTTAGAGGTTAGTGGGGTGCGGAGGATGCGAGGCTCAAGTACAGGCTCTCGAATACGCGGAGCATTATAACTATCTGGGCACTTGCATTCCCTTCTAATTAGGGATGGCAAAAATTCCCACCCCACCCTACCCCATATATATTATAAATTTATTAAATTACCCTTACATACTACTCCGTATGATATATAATAAAAATAGCTTAAAGTATATATGTCTTGAAAAAAAAAAAAAACCAGAGCCCCAAGTAGGGATGACAAAAATTTTCACATTGGCGGGCCTTGCCCCGTTTGGGGTAGTTTATAGGGGACTGATTATACAAATGAGGACGGGGATGGGGGCAGCTTTGTATGGGGATGGGGAATGAGATATCGGCCCAAACTGCTTCATTGCCATCCCTAATTTCTAATACTCCTTGTTCCATATTAGTTGTCTAATATTTCATTTTTGAATGTCCCAAATTAGTTGTCTCATTACAAAAGTCAAAGCAAATAAACATTATCTTTCAAACATTGTCCTTTATATTTTTAAAAAAATTCAAATTTAGTAATTATACATAATTAAACTAAAAATGACAAATTGGTAATTTTAAAAGGAGCCAGTGCATTAATTATTAAAAATTTCTAATTTTAAAAATGGACATTTAATATGGGAAATGAGACTGTATTTAAAATTAAGGGAGTTTGTAACGACCCGAACCCGTAGGTCCGAACCGTTAACCGAGTCTTTACCCGAATCCGAGGCCATCTAAGTCGAATTCTGTTAAGTTTAGTGTCATTACATCATTTTAAAAATCATAATCATACTTCACAAAGGTTCTATGCGACTTCCCACAACTTAGGATGAATTTTGCCGAAGAAAGGAACAAAATAGGATAAGGCAGCATAGTTCGGTCGACCGAAGTGGAGCTTCGGTCGGCCGAAGCAATCTCCCTTGTATCGGTCGACCGAAACAGGCATTTCGGTCGGCCGGTTTTGATTCAACAGTAACTGAAGTCTCTTGATAAACTGGTTGGCCGAAACAGGCATTTCGGCCGGCCGAAACAGGCATTTCGGCCGGCCGAAATGCCTTTGCGAACTGGTCCTGCTACTGGAAATGTTGAAATTTATGGAAGTGATAAAAGAGGACTTTGAAAATGCTCTAAACCTTCTCTAAGAACACTTCAAATGATAAAACCACCTACTATTGTCATGATCATCAACATTTTAATAGGATACAACATCATTAAAATATTTTCAAATGGAAAATCATGCATAGTTTTTACATTTAATTCAATTTACATCAAAATGGTGCTAAGGCACATAGTTGAATTACAAGGCTATGTTTACTAGCTTAAATACATTTCCAAAGTGATGCTATATAAAAGAATGGCCTGAAGACAAAAATAGCAAAAAAAAAAAATGGACTCCTAGTACCCATCAAGCTTGTGGTGGATTGTCATCCGCCACCTCCTTCCCATGACTTGAAAAATGTTAAATACAAAGGGGTAAGCTAATTGCTCAGTAGGTGGTGCCTAAGACACACCTCTTGTGACCCCTGAATTCAAACAATGAATAGAATAATAGGGAACGGGATTATGCTATGCCGGGAGAAAATATAACAAATTACAAGACCAAAATGGATAATGTGATGTTATGAAATGCTATGCTATGCTATGTCGCTTCCCGTTTTCAAAATAACTTTCATTCTCCACTTTTCAAACCGTTAACATAACCCATTCTTCGGTGACTTCTCGGCGATACGAGAGAAGGATTTTCTACTGTCCCTGACCCTTGGTAAATTTGCGGCGTCATTTGGGGCCCAAATAACTCAACCACGCTAGGGTGATTTCCCTAATTCCCTCTAGGTTACATTAACGCCACGGACCCTCGATACCTCCTCGGCGTCCGTGTTTTCTCAAAACCACTTGTCAAAAATCTTTCCCAAAACCCCTTTTCATTACAAAACAATTCTTTTCCATTTTTTCCCTTGCCCAATGCTATGCATAAATGCATCATACTTTTCCATGTCATGTTAATGACCACTATCATACATCCAATTTAAGTTCAAATCACATAGCATAATTTTACAAGAACTCCCAAATGAAACATCATGCTTTCACATCATAAAATTTGACAAATTCAAAACATAATAGACATAAAATATTATCAATTGAGCATGCTTTTTATATAAATCAATTACTACACATAGTCATGAACTTCATATACCACATTTAAATCATTTTAAGGATAATCAATACGAATTAAGCATGCTTGATAACAAATTACATACAATTAATTCACAAAAGCATAAGAATGCATGGATTAGAGACCCCTATCTCAATTTGTAAAAAAACTCCCAAATGGGTCCAATTTTTGAAAATCCTAAGGTGGCCAAAAGTGTGAATTACTTATATCAGTGCATAGATCTCGCCGGGCTCTTCGATTTGGCGTAAACGGCACCAAAAAATTCCAACAATTGAAGAAGTAATCAAGGATTGAAGTTTGCAAACAAAGGAAAAAGAAAAAAGATGAAAAAAAAATTAAAAAAGTGAGGGAGAGAGATATCTTACGGGGGGAGAGAGAAATGAGACCAAATGTAGTCTCTTAGCCACTAAAAATGGTAGTGATGGTTCCCACCATTTTAAAATATCTTTTTCTTTTAAATTTTCTACCATAAATTCATATACATACTTTAATTTAATAAAACCACACAATTAAACACTTAAACAATTTACTTTAGCATAAAAATAATTATGCATGGCATGCAAATGATCCGAGATACAACTCCCGTACACAACAATTCCGGTAGCGGGTTCCACCAGGACCGTTCGGCCCGAAAAACGAAGCTTTGCACTTGTTTTATACAATTTGAATTGAAAATTTTTTAATATACAATTTGAATTAAAATTTTTCCAATGTAAGCTTTGCACTTGTTTTATATGATACTTTTAAAATAGGAATTGAAATTTTTTTAATATAAAATTTGAATTAAATTTTTTTCAATGTAAGCTTTGCACTTGTTTTATATGATATTTTTGCTTCGTGATATCAAAAGGCTATATAGAAGATTAGCAGTACACAGCAACTTTGCATAACACTAAATTCATTAATCATGAAGTCGCCAGCTAGCCCTCGGCATACGCAAGTTATTTATGAGGTCGGGAGTGGGGAGATGTTCATCTCGTCCATATTATTAATCTATCATCCTAACCTATCAGATGTTTTAAAGATGAGGTAACCATATTCATTATTTATCCCATTAAAATTATTTTGATGGATCTAACAATCAACCAACCGAAATGATAAGGTCAACTGTAGAAAATTATCATAAAATTTGCCAGTTTGTCCCTTACCAGTCACGTATCCATCAATATTTCTCTCCTCCAAATATATATATATTTTTTGTTCTCTCTTATGATCCAGTCAATTTTGACTTTTCATATTAATTCTTTTTTGGAGAGTTATTTTTTACATGTTACTTGGGGGTAAAATATTTTTATTTTTTGGTATTCGTAAAAGTCTAAATCAAGATTGAAGTTAGTCAATTAAGTGAAACGTGTTGATGAATAAATTATTTTTGTTAAAATTTTAATTTTTTTTATTTTATAAATATTTTATAACAATCAAACACTGAAAATTAAAAAATAATAATTTCTAAAAACTTATTTTACACAAACAAATGAATTGTTAATCAAAACTTATTTGTGTAAAACTTTGAATTAGCAAAATAGTAGATTCAGTTGTCAAAACCCACAAAGTCAAACACATGCTTTTATAAACACCACGTATGAGAACTTGGATGAATGAGAGATGCAATTTTCACATTTTATAACCAACCCTTGTACGCAAGACATTGGGGGACTCAAAAAATTTCCACTCACAAGGATTCAATTATTTAATGTTTATATATGATAATATAATATAATAAATTTAAATCATTTCTATAGCATAATCATATAATTAATGACTTCTTTTTTTTTTTTTTTTCCTTTCTTACTAAAAGGCCAAGCTGCATCTGGTGGCTCTACTCGCAAGTTTGCCACCGGAAACAGGACTGGACCAGACTTCCAAACAGTATATGCGCGTGTGCAGTGCACCCCTGATTTATTTTAGTTGCAATGCATCAATTGCCTAGATGAGGTTGCAGGAGACATTCCGGTATGTTGCAATGGATAAACAGGAGGAAGAGTTGTTGCAGGCAGCTGCAATCTTAGATTTGAGGTCTACCGTTTCTACAACGACACCATCATTGATGCACCACCACCACCACCATCACCAATACCAACATCACCACCACAGCCACCAGGTACAGGACATACACATACTGCTTGTAGCTGTTAGGGATATTGATTTACATATTGTAAAATACTTCAATTTATGGAATGGGAAAGATGTTTTCAAATATGAGAATAATTATAATAAAACAATTAATATTTAAAAATAATTATACAACAAATATAATTGTATTGAAATAAAAAACAAATCAGAGCAGAGAAAGATCGATAGTTCTGGCCTGTTAGATGGAGAGACACGCAATGCGCTATCCTAAAGCCTTTGAAGTTCCCTTACGTGCAGGTAATTACGATCCACCAAAGACTCCAAAATACAACTCCAAGGGTTCTCTATGCGCACAATCATAGAGAAGCTTTCACCAAGTTTTGATGTCACGTTGCCCTAGAGAAATAGAAATATATATAATAGGAGTAAACAGTATAATTGCAGAGAGATAATATAATTGCAGTAGGTTTTCTGAGAGTAGAAGAGAACTTGTTTTATTAAACTCTCTGCTAATCAAAACTTACATATTAATAGAATTTATCACGTATTTTCATCAATAGATGCGCCGTTTGGCTTAACAGTTAGAACATTTAATTTAATTTCTTTTAATTTAATTATTATTATCTACAGTTAATTAGTTAAGGGCTTTTGAATTTCTAACTAATAGAAATTCTAGACTAAGGAAGATTTAAAACTTCTCTAATAACTCTAACAATCCCTCACAAGTTTTAAAACTTATAAAAAAATAATAATAAATAAAATAAATATCATATAGAATATATACGTAATTTTAAAAAAAATATCATAATAGGGCAACTGAATACTATGCAATGGGTGCAAGAGTCTTCCGGACTTGAACTTACACTTAGTGTCGATAGTTTTCATTTAAGGGTCTTGAGAGACTAGGTCTTGAACTCGACCCTTGAGTCAAACTTTAACATATCACACACACAGTATTGACAATAAACTTGGTTTCACGATTTAGCGCTATTAATGGCCATGCGCTTGTATCTTGATTCTCATGAGAGTTACTAGAGAACAATCCAATTCTCATAGTCGCGGCCTCACGACAGCTCCCATTTAGGTGAGCCCTCCAAAGGTACATTTGACAGATACCTTGTAAGAGTATGCTTATCTTGGCTCATTCAAGGCAATGCCCTTCCTAACGTCACATTCAACAACACAAATGCCATAGGGATGGGTAGGAGAAAATCTTCGTGAGAAACCTCCTAAATACAGTGTTGTACATGAGTCGAGCAGTACGGATTGTTTCTACCCATTGAACCTTCTTCATGGGATCTGCAATCACAAAGGATGGGTTACCTCCGAAGGTGACTCCCTTATGGGCTTAAGCCCATCCCCCTCGACAAATCTAGGACTACGCTCCTAGACAGACCTTTAGTCAATTGGTTGGCTAAATTCTTTACCGACTTAATATATTCTAAGGAGATTATACTTCTATTCAACATGCTCCTCACAGACTTATATCTTACTTGTATATGTCTATTCATTTTCTTATTTGTATGGGATTGTCTCACTAGATCAATAGTTGCCTTACAATCACAATGTATATGTATTGCTGGAATTGATTTATTTACTAATGGTAAATCTAATAAGAGACTCTTGATCCATTCAGCTTCAGTGCATGTTGTATCTAATGCTATAAGCTCAGATTCCATTATACTTCTGGATATAATTGTTTGTTTTCTGGAACTCTATGATACTGCAGCTCCTTCTAAGAAAAATGCATAGCCACTAGTGGATTTAACCTCTAAACTATCGGTAATCCAATTAGCATCACTATATCCCTCTACCATCTCAGGAAAACCTTTATAACATAAAGAACTTTCAATAGTTCCTCTTAGGTATCTAAAGACTCGCTCTAATGCTGTCCAATGTTCTATACTCGGGTTATGAGTATATCTACTAAGTCTTCCCACAACATATGAAATATCAGGCCTAGTTTTATTAGCTATATATAGTAAAGATCCAATCATTTGTAAATATTTTAATTGGGAAATAGGATCACCACTATTTTTCTTCAAATGTACATTAGGATCATAAGGAGTTGATACAGGTTTACTCTCAAAATAATTAAATTTTCTCAACATGTTCTCAATTGTATTGGATTGACTTATAGTAATTCCTTCTAAATTTCTCTCAATTTTCATTCCTAAGATCATATAAGCTTCTCCTAAATCTTTCATATCAAAACTCATAGATAAGTATGTCTTAATATCTTTTACTATTTCCAAATTTGTTCCAAAAATTAAAATGTCATCCACATAAAGACATAGTATCACATGATCTCCATTACTCTCTTTATAGTATTAACATTTATCATGCTCATTTATTTTAAATCCATAATCCAAAATAACTCTATCAAATTTTTCATGCCACTGCTTAGGAGCTTGCATAAGACCATATAATGACTTGACTAATCTACATACCTTGTGTTCTTGTCCTTTTACAATATATCCTTCAGATTGTTCCATATAGATTTCTTCATCTAAATCTCCATTTAAAAATTCGGTCTTTACATCCATTTGATGAATTACTAAGTTATGTATGGATGCTAAAGCTATTAATATCCTAATAGTGGTAATACTAGATACAGGTGAGTAAGTATCAAAATAATCTATTCCTTTCTTTTGTGTAAATCCCAATCTATTCATTTCTTTTGTGTAAATCCCTTAGCTACTAGTCTTGCCTTATACTTGTCTATACTTCCATCAGGTCTTAATTTCTTTCTAAATACCCATTTACAACCAATGGCTTTATTTCCAAGAGGCAAATTAGTCAGCACCCAAGTATTATTTTGAATTATAGATTCAAATTCACTATTTATAGCCTCCTTCCAAAAAGGAGCATCTTTGGAAGACATGGCTTCCTTGTAGGTGTTTTGTTCTCCTTCTACTACAAATGTATAGAACCCTTCTCCAAATTTCTTCTCTATTCGGAGTCTTTTACTTCTTCTAAGTTCAACTTGAGATTCAGGTTCCTTTTCCGAAGATATACTAGAAGAAGGTTTCTCGTAAGTAGAGTTTGATTGTTTATCAACTATATGGTGTGGAATTCTTGTTTTAAATGGAAAAATGTTTTCAAAAAATATAGCGTCTCTAGACTCAATTATTGTATTATTTGATATTTCAATAATTTCAGAGTTAAACACTAAAAATCTATTAGCACTTCTATTTTGGACATAACCTAAAAAAATAGCATCTACTATTTTAGGTCCTATTTTCTTTTTTTTTAGGTTCAGGTATAGCCACCTTTGCTAAACACCCCCACACTTGTAGGAATTTAATATTAGGTGATCTCCCTTTCCAAATTTCATATGGGGTCTTTTCATTATCTCCAACAGTTACCCTATTAAGTATCAAACATGCAGTGAATATTGCTTCCCCCCACAAGTTCTCGGATACACCAAAACTAGTTAACATAGCATTTACCATGTCCAACAAAGTCCGATTTTTCATTTCTGCCACACCATTAGATTGAGGTGAATAAGGGGCAGTAACTTCATATATAATTCCACTTTCTTCACAGAATGTACCAAGAACATTCCATTGATACTCTCCTCCTCTATCGGACCTAAGTCTTCTAAGTTTCTTCTCTAGTTGATTCTCCACTTTATTTTTGTATACTTTAAATCTTTCAAACACCTCATCCTTTGTTTTAATCAGGTATACATAAGAATATTTTGAACAATCATCTATAAATGTCACAAAGTACTTTTTCCCACCTCTAGTTGGAGGTCTATTTGAATCACATACGTCACTGTGAATTAATTCTAAAAGTTGGGTATTTCTTTTAACACAGCTTCATGTATGAGAAGGTTAATAAAGTCCCTAACAGAAAGGTGCTGTCACCGATGTCAAGGACCAAGGACAAGGTGGTAAGCCTATATCTTCATTTCCTACCATGTTCACTTCACCCTAAGTCGTCGTTTATTCGCCAATCATAATTCATAGCATGCCACAGGAACACATATAGGGGCATAATTGTCCTTTTACAAAAAAACAACAAACAAATTGAATTGTATGTGTCATATAATATGCATGAAACAAATTGCTTGTTGTTCAATAATTCTGGTTGATGTCACAGGTAGTTGTTGGGCATTCTCAACAGTTGTTGGAGTTGAAGGTATAAACCAAATCAAAACAAAGAAGTTAGTTTCTTTGTCCGAACAAGAGCTGGTTGACTGTGACACCAAGGAAAATCAAGGCTGTAATGGAGGGCTGATGGATTATGCATACAAGTTCATCAAACAGAAGGGAGGCTTAAATACGGAGGATAACTATCCTTACACAGCCGAAGACGGAACTTGTGATGCTTCAAAGGTACATAATATATGCAGTACCTAATAATATTTCAGTAAAATTATTTACAGCTTTGATTCTGATATTGCAGGACTAAATTTGATTATTTTGCAGGAGAATTCTCCAGTAGTCTCAATTGATGGACACGAGAACGTACCTGCTAATGATGAGGATGCACTGCTGAAAACCGTAGCTAACCAACCTGTGTATGTCGGCATAGATGCCGGAGGTTCTGGTTTCCAGTTCTACTCAGAGGTAAATCCATGATCCAAGAAATTACTTTCATCATCAGAACTCTACATTTTTCTTTCGAAAGTTTCTATCAAGACAAACACATCTTGTAGAATGACAACTATGACCGGAGGCTGTAAACAACCAGTATATAAACCATTTTGAATCATCTGAGACAGAAGCTAGAGTTATATTCTCATGTTTTGAACAATTCTAATTGAAACATAATTGGACAGCTCAAATTTAAACAAGGAATTGAATAATTTCTGAGATTTGTTTTCAACTGAACACACGGAGTATTTAGTGGAGACTGCGGCACTGAACTGGATCATGGGGTGGCAATAGTGGGCTACGGAACAACCCTTGATGGGACAAAATACTGGACAGTAAAGAACTCATGGGGTCCTGAATGGGGAGAGAAGGGTTACATCAGGATGCAGCGTGGCATCTCTGCAAATGAGGGACTGTGTGGTATAGCGATGCAGGCCTCGTATCCTATCAAAACCTCCTCAAATAACCCTAAAGGACCTCCATCTCCTCCTAAGGATGAACTCTGAACCACATTGATACCATATATTAAGCACTGCTTTTCAGTCTCAGCCGCTATTTCATCTCTGCTAAAGTTGCATCCCTCATCTCCCCATAAAAGTACATAATTTGTGAGACTGATTTGATGATGGTCTCATCTAATGTATCTCCTTAACTCTTTCAGGATTTTGAGGATTAAATAAATTATTTTCAACTCTCTTCGCTATCATTTATCTTTTTCATAATTGGATAGGATGACGCTTGTCTGTAATGCAGCAGGAGCCAAGGAGGATAACTTCAAATTTGGCCTCTATGTTTTCAACTTCCTCAAGCATTAAAATGATGCATTAGTTAATAACTTAAAGCAATTTCTTCTATCTACTTGAAGAACGACTATAAAATAAGGATCGCTTGCAAGGTTGAAAAAGTAGATAATTAAAAGTCAGAAGTCATATGTAAGTTTTATGCAAAAATGAACAAGATAACATTAGCAAGATGCTGAGCCAAAAAATAGTATGCAATAGAAACAAATTTCGGTCACAACTTAATATTTTGTCATTTATGACATCATTGCAATGGGCTCTCCTCTATAGAGATCATCCATGTTATAGGCAGATAACTTGTAACGAGAAAATGATTATTACATTCTTCTAAGACGGCAATAATTATCCCAACCATAAACACAAAATAAATAAGGAATTATTTATGTATTCTGGCCAAGATATTGTGCCCAGTGCACAATAAGAGGAATGAGATAGTTGAGACTGGTATGATCAACATACCATGTAACAAACAAAATTCAATTAGGGAATGTTTAAGCATACATATTTTGTCAGCCATAGCATCTGATGGGATCGTTACAGCCCTTAGCAGCAGATTGTTTCGAGCTGCAACCACCACCCTTTTCCAAATACTGCTGATGGTACTCCTCTGCTCTATAAAATCTCTTTGCTGGAAGAATTTCCGTCACAATCTTACTGTCTTTGAGCTCCATCTGCTTAGTTTCCATTGACTCACGTGCTAGCTGTCTTTGGGCCTCACTGTAGTAGTATATCCCTGAGCGGTACTGAGTGCCCACATCACCACCCTAGCACATAAACAGGTCATCAAATGTAACATGGATTAGCAAGGATTTTAATCCATCAGAAAAATGCTTTTAGTATTATTTACATTTTATATACAAGAGAAACTGTTGTAGAATTCAAAGTTCACCACCATTTAGGGTAGTAACTTAGTTGTATCTCCTCAACTTTCCAAGTGAAAGGTTGAGGGTTCAAGTCCCCATAGGGGTAAATTGTGTATTATTTGCGAGCACAACATCAAAAAATAATAACCAAATAAATAAATAAAACTACTTAATCTATCCCATAGATCCTAGTTAGGACATAGAACGGAAAGGAGATTTGAAAAGTTACCACTTGTTCCTAATATTTGTGGCAAGTTCCAAAATTTTCCTCTACATACTTTGAAACCAAATGGAGGCTTGGGTTTCTTACATACAGGTAAGAATGGAATACAGGACTTGAACACTTGAGGTTTAGTAGGTTTTAGGGTAGACCAAGCTAGGAGGGTTGGTTTGTTAAACTACCAAATGGCCCCAAGTTGGTTTGTTGGGTGTATGAGAAACAATGAATGGAAATATAAGAAATATAAAGCTGGATTGGATTATGAAATAATATTCTAGCAATCATCTTCGGTCAGTTTTAGCTTTGCATATTCAAATCAAATCATGTAATTAAGCATATTCCAACTGACGATTATACTGAACATCCGTTCCTTTCCTTTCTTTATGAGTTCCCTTTGTTTGCACGACACTAATATCTAATGATTGCAATAATGAGTTCCTTAGGGAATATTTGACGGTATCACATAATCGTTCCTGTTTAGTATACCACTAAAATGCATGTTTCAAAATTTTTTTTTTTTTTTTATAAGTAAGATTGCACTAAAATGCATGTTTTACGCAATACCGGTTTACATTATTCCACAACAAGGAACAATCCGAAAACCTTATGTCTGTTCTATTGCATCAAGGAAAGCCCCTTGAGGTATGTTTTGGAATGAATTGATTGTCTCGTTTTAAAAACTGTTACTAAGTTTTTTGAAGATGGTAAATTTAACTGGAACTAAAGAAGAACAACGGAATGTTTAAAACAAGAAATACAATGAGGTAACTAGGCGTCTCTCATTTGAATTTTTATATAAACGTAATACAGAAGAAATCTGTGTACCTATTTGTAATTTCAAATGTTTAAGGACAAAACAACCTAAGTTTTCAAAGTCAATTGGTAAACCATGCAGTTTATGCTGCATTATGAAGGAGTGCATATTGGATGGAAAGGGACCACCTGCGAAAGGAAGAATCATTTCCCATGTCTTATTTGGTTGAGTGGGGAGAAAAATTCTATTAAAAAGAAAATAAGAATGTATTCGGAATCGAGTGATTTGACCATTTCTTGTGAATGGTTAAAAAGATAAAATCTTAAGATTCAAAAAAGTCAAAAAGAGAACGAAATATGCTACCTACTCCTTTTCGTACACTTTCAGAGGCTAATTAAATATTGACATTTAGTGATAAGATTACTTTTATTTATGTAGCGAGATATAATGTTGACACTTAGTGATAAAGATTAAAAGACTATATTTATTTATGTAACGAGATATAATTTATTTTGTTAATGACACCAGTGACCCGTTCAATGAAGTCCCCTCTTCCTCTGGATAATAGGAGACAATGTCAGCCATTTTTTTGGTCAATGTTACCGACAAACCTATCCAAAAAGTGATCTTTGACCAAGCTTAAAGCTGAATTAGTCATACCCAACTTAGCTAATAGCAACTAAGGGCCTGTTCGGAGGCCCATATCTGATATTGTTTTGGTGTTTTGATTTTAGTTTTGGGCCAATATCATGTTTGGAGTGGGCTGATATGGTATTTAACAGTGCCAAAACATTATCATTTTTGGGCCAAAACCCATATCAACATTTTGGTGATATATGGCACTGTCGGTGAATTGTTCTGAAACCAAAACCAAACCAATCCTCGTTTATACTGTAGCGGTGATATCATGTATATAAGGTCGCATATCAGATTTTAGGTCATTTTTCAGCATCGTTTCTCTCTCTTCGCGTAGCTCCCTGAAAGGCGACTTCAGTGGCGATCCAACCTTTTCCACCACCGATCTGGCAGAGCTCCTCCACCAGGTACGTCATTTTGTGTCTCTGTTTGTATCTATAGATCACATATATCTTCGCTTTCGAGATTTACATTTGGGAGGTCCTCGTGTTCACTTTCTCTCTCTAATATTGTGACAATCAGAGTCTATATTGCGTTTCCAAGTTCTGATCTTTATTCGAATCATGTTGTGAGTGTTGTAATTTAGGGCATTTGTGTCCAGATCTCAAGTTTCTCCACCACCGATCTGGCAGAGCTCCTCCACCAGGTACGTCATTTTGTGTCTCTGTTTGTATCTATAGATCACATATATCTTCGCTTTTGAGATTTACATTTGGGAGGTCCTCGTGTTCACTTTCTCTCTCTAATATTGTGACAATCAGAATCTTTATTGCGTTTCCAAGTTCTGATCTTTATTCGAATCATGTTGTGAGTGTTGTAATTTAGGGCATTTGTGTCCAGATCACAAGTTTCATGAGAGGGTTTGATTTTAGCCCTGTTTCTGGGTTGTTTCTTCTATCAACCATTGTTCTGATATAAGGGTTTATATGTCATCCATCGATTGTGTGTGTTGCAATGTGGAAGCAATTAGAATGTTGACTGAGTTAATTATAACTATCGATTTTAGCGATATTTTCAAGATCTGTTCTTGGTCCAAATTACAATTTTGCAAAGGATCTGTATTATGTATAAATCAACCTAACAGGCTCTTATATCATATCAGGCTTGATCGTACATTAAAAAGCAAAATTAAAATTGATATTTGTAAATTATTAAATTGTTTGAATGATCAATTTGTTGTATTATATTATTTAAGGACAAATGGGAGGACAAAAGATTCGACAAAAGGATAAAATTTAAACATTCATCAACTTTTAAATTCTCAAACTTAGGATGATGAAATCTACAGCCAATATATATTTTCAAACAGATAAAAGAATGCTTGTGAATAGCTCCTTTAAACCAAACAGTCTCATTCCAAGCAACAACATTTTTCTTAGGTCTAATATTTTCCCAAGCAGTTTTAATGGTAAACTACCCCTTACTAGGTAACAAAATAACTTGATCATTATTTAGAAAGGCTGGAAATCTGAAGGTATGGCATTCCTTAGCTCAATAAGCTCAAGGGTGTTGGTTTGAGGCCACTGCCAGTGGTTATTAACTATAATATCAGCCACAGTTGTTTGTTCATTGTAAACCTGAGTCAAAGATGACTCTATTACCTATTCTCATCACAATAGGGCTCATAGGGAGCCAATAGTCATTCCATAACCAAGTGTGTGTCCTTTTACCCACTTGATGCATAATAAACATTCTAAAGTTAGTTCTAATTTGTAAGATTTTCCTCCAGCTCCAAGAACTACTTTGAGGAATTTTAATAGACCAAAAGTCTCTATTTCTAAGGAGATGAACTTTAAACCATTCAGTCCATAGAGATTGAGGCATCAGTTGAATAACTTCCCATAAGTTCTTAGCCATAGCGGCCCTGTTCCAAGCATTCAACTCCAAAGACTCAAACCACCTTCCTTTTTAGGGTAACAAACATCCTCCGAAGCTACTTTTGAACCAGCATTCATTAAAGAACTACCCTTCCACAAGAAATGCATTAAAACTGAATTTAATTTATTAAAAAGAATAGCCTTATTATTTTATATTTTTTATAAGTAATAATATTTAAAAAGGCGTTCAATAGGGGAACTCGTCCCGTAGACATAAAATAAACCGGGGTCTAAGGCCCCAAAGAATCCAAAAAAGAAATTAAATCAACAGAAGAGGAACACGAACTTTTGTTCACATAACTAAATAGAGAACGAATCGCTTGTTGAATATTTGAATATTCATTGGTAATATAAGAAAAAGAATAAACATTTACATCTCTTTGAAAAAAATGCACTGATAATTTGTCAAATCTTGTCAATTCACATTCGCATATTTGTTGATATTATACAAAAATTCATAGGGTTGCAATTAAGTTTCTAAAGAATGGCCTAAAGAATACTATTATACATTTATTTACTGGAACACTCACCATGCACTAAATGATTAGAATATTCTCTCAGTATATTATGCACACATCTGAAACAAAAATATGATTGTTGCCATCCAGAGGTATTACTTCTGTGAAATGTACTTGCAATAATATTTCCCTGAAATTTCGTAAAGAGATAAAGACAGTACCTTGTGTGTTGTACTGCTATATACCACTTTCCTTCACCTTGCTCTTCGTGAGATGAAGTGTTTTATAGACAGTACATTTTTTACTTATCATTGACGTGTTGAATTATGAGTCAAAACACAATTCAATATACTAAAATGTTCAATTACTTAATAATAATCAGATGGACATGAACAATGACAATGTTGAGCAATACCCATCAAGAGACATTCATTCTCTTGATGGTGACAATGGTGAGGATGTTGTAGTTGTTGAACAGGCCGATGCCGCTGTTTGGTGTAATGCCCATCAAGAGAAATTCATGCTCTTGATGGAGGAAGAGGTTGGAAAAGGAAATCGTACAGGCACGACTTTTAATCCAAATGGGTGGACACATATTGTGGACGCAATGTTATTAGAAACTGGAAAGAAGTACACAAAGGACCAATGTAGACAAAAATTCAATAATATAAGAGCATTGTACAAAGATTGCAAACAAATATTATCTGAGACTGGTGTAGGGTACAACAGTGAAACTGGAATGATTAACTTGGAAGCTGAAAGATGGGTTCGATTGTGCAAGGTTAGTATTTCAATACGTGTCTATTTACCATACATACAGTAAGTAATTAGTGATTTAGTATTAAAATGGTTTGATGAACAATAATTGTAAGTTGATAACGTGTAGGTTCTCAAGCATGGAAAAAAAATAAAAAAACAGGGGTGTAAGAATTATGAGCAGATGGTAAGGATTTTTG